TAGTTTTGTCATTCGCCGCACCAAGCTACGAACTCGTCAAAGAGACACTTGTCTCTTGCTGGGAATCATGACAACTACTATGGCAGACAACTTCGGACTAGGTGCGTTCTACTAAGCCGCCCTGACAACAAGACGAAGTTGCGACAACGAGGTCAACCCACTTCTATCCATCAAAAGGAGACTGCGACCACACCAGAGGCCACAACATCTTGGTCTTTATATATTCTTCCACACTGCCCAACTACCACACAGTCAGCCACTCCATACCTTCCAATCCCATCACATTGGCTCCTAGTGGATTGTGGATCTCAACAGACGGGACCGGCAGTTCCGAACAAGTCGCCTGGCGGTACAGTTTCAGCTCCGCTTCAGGTCACAACAGTTTGGCCTGCCAGTTGTACAGCAAATCGCAGGCGAGAAGCACTTTTATTTAGTGCCCCAAAAAAGTGGAGGCTGATACGGCAAAAAGCGATTAACCGAATTAAGAAAACAGAGTACCGGCCAGTCGATGCTGTGCCGTCCGGGTCAAGGTTCGGCAGGCGCGAGGAAGAGAGAGAGAGAGAGAGAGAGAGAGAGAGAGAGAGAGATAGAGAGAGGAAAAACGAATGGTACATTTTGTCTTGTAAATGTGACGAGAGGGAAAAGAGGTTTTGCCAAAAGGAGGACCGTAGATTGGAGACCGTGAGGCGGCGTGTGGGGGGAGACAAAGGAAGTATCCTGTTTTGCCCATCGCCTTGACGACTTTGCCGAGTCAGGCGTTGGAAGAGGATAGAGATAGGCAGAAGAGACGTCTGATGGCCGAAATGGGCTGGGTGGGGTGGCGAGTTTGGGGAGGAGACAACACCCATTTGAAGGTGATGGGAAGACGAGACTTCTGATAATGTTAAGTTGTAAGCGGAAGGGGGAAGAAGAGGAGTAAGGCCGTGACAAGAATAGGCAAAAATAGGAAGAGTCGTCAAGCCCCGTCGAGAGACCTGAAGACTTTGAGGTAGACGAATCGGAAAGTGCAGAAGCTGTCAACCCTGAGACTATGAGGAAGGAGAGTTTGGACAAAATGTCGCTGAAGATTTTACATCTCTTGGCTCAGCTAAGCTCAACTTCGCGAATCAGACCACGAAAGAATGCCGTGAGCTAATCGGTACCACATCATTTGGCCAGTTTCTCAACTCCACCCAAGACGACGATTGCACACGCGACTTGACTTGGTTGAAATTTAATTAGAGATATGAAGACCAAGATGGTGTGGCCTCCGGTATGGTCGCAGTCTCCTTTCGATTTATAGAAGTGGGTT